GAGTGAGTGAGTGAATTTTTTTTTTTTTTTATCTCTCACCCCCAAAAGGTCATCGTCAACAAATAATAGCCCTTCAAACCCACTGCTGTGATCCAGGACGACAGCTGAAGGTCCAAGGCAGCCTTCTATCTGATCTGTATATGAAAATAAATAAACATGTAAATAAATGAATCTAATATATCATGAAGATACTGTATAATACATTTATTATACATCAAATAAATTGATTATGTAGATGTTTTCAGCCATGCTTTTATTAATCAACAAATACATAAATATTTAGGGGGTCTTAGACTACAGATAATTATTAATTTAACAAATATTTTATGAATTACAAGTAAATATATCAATATATATTTTTATTATTATTTTAGCAAAGTCTTCTACGTTCCATTTTACAGTCATTTGTGAGGCACTCAGTTCTAGTGTTAAGAGTGTAAGTGTTTGTCTGACCTCTGCTGTCCTCGGTGATATTATCTTCAGCCAGCAGCTTCTCCAGATGAGCTCCGAGATCCTGGAACATCAGGGTTTTTCTACAGGGACAACCGAGTTCAACTGAGCCTCACATATCACATCATAACAGCTCATACACTGAAGAGACTAGATCTAACTAGAAATACATTTTATTTATAAAGTAATTCATACATTTAACCCTTGTGCGCTCCTCATTTGGGAGTCACACTCATGGTCTTCGCGGTCAAAAGTGACCGGACACCTGAAATTTAACTTTTTTTTAATATATATTTGTTCAATAATATTTTTTTATTTTTTTTAACAGGAATGCTTTATCAGAGCTTAATCCTTCTGGGCCTGATCTGATTTTAATCTCTTATTTCAGTTTTCTGACTCATTTTGGCAATATGGTTATATCCATACCAATTCATTTGAGTGTGTGTGTCTGTGAGTGTGTGTGTAAGTGAGTGTGTGTGAGTGGATGTGTCTGTTTTGCACTCTTGATGTTTTAGAGTGTAACCCCTTCCTTGCTGTCCACTTTTTTACTAAATTGTAGTTGAATTATTGATTTTATTTTACATAGTTGCTGTGTTACAGGCACACCAGTTCATAGGGGTGTTTGTGTGTACAAGTGTGTGTATGCATGTCTGCGCGTGTGTGAGTGGGTGTGTTGATTTTGCACTCTAGATGTTTTAGAGTTTCACCCCTTCATTGCTGTGCAATTTTTTTCTGCATCGTGGGGGATTTCTAGATTGTGTACACAAAAATGTTCTGTATTTTCAATTTTTTTTGCCATTTCCCATTCATTTCCTATGGTCTGTCATTTTTGACCGAAGACCATGAGTGTGACTATTTTTTTTACGAGCACTTAGCTTTTTCGAATCATGCCCTCAATTTTTTTGTGTGTTCACATACCAAGCAAGTGCCATAAAAGTCACCAAGTTTCGTACCATTCTGATGAAGCTACGATTTTTAAATATTCAAAATGTAAAATTCTTCTGTCAAAAGTGACCGAAGACCGCACAAGTAATCAAGTAAATATGATAAAAGTGACAATAATAAAACATGCACAGCAAAACCTCCAGTGTTGAAATCCTGGTGTTAAGGACCCTGAGAGTAAAGAGTTAAAGTTCTGGTGTTGAATTTCAAGAGATTAACACAGCTAGTTTAAACAGAAATTACAGAGAGTTAAATCTTATTAACACTGTGAGTGTTATTATTTACATCCGGGATATTTACGCGCTTAAACCAGCTGAAAGATTTCTCACAGACGCCATTCGAAATGCAATGCAGTGCAGACGCGGAGGTTGCTTTTAACATGGAAACACCAGAAGTAGCCTACCTCATTTACAATATGTATTTTATAACATAAAACTTTTAAACTTTTCTCAGAGAGACATTTGACTCGCGATCACTCACTCGTGAGTGAATGAATCGCATGCTGCGATCGTTTCTGCACGGAGTCTATTTCTGCTGTACTGCATGAGCTGAATTAAAGTGACAGTTCTTTTGAAATATGTTTCAAATTCACACTGAATGCATTTATGACTGTAAAGCATGTATGTGTGTGTCAAAATCGTGATTAAAATCGAAATCGCAAAACTGATCAAAGAAATCGCGATAGTTTTTTTTTGTCCATATCGCACAGCCCTAGAGTGGATATCTCCCCACTTGTCTGAAAAATGCAGAGAAATGCATCTCGTCATGCTGGAAAAAAAAAAGAACGCCATTAGCACACAACAACAGTTTGTTCAGTGAGCATTAACATGCATTCAGAGTTGATGGTAATGAATGATGATGCTGTTGTTTAAGCTGATAAACATAAGCAGTATAAACTTTATGACATTCAGAGTACATATGGACCAAATAAGAATATTTTGTGCATTTGCACTGTTTTGCTTTGACATTATGATGTTTTAAGGGGCAGGCGTGGCCTAATGGTTAGAAAGTCGGACTTGTAACCCAAAGGTCGCAGGTTCGAGTCTCAGGTCCAGCAGTGATTGTAGGTGGGGTGAGTGAATGACCAGCGCTATCTCCACCTTCAATACCACGACTGTGGTGAGACCCTCGAGCAAGAACTGAACCCCCAACTGCTCCCCGAGCGCTGCAGCAATATGGCTGCCCACTGCTCCGGGAGTGTGTGTGTGTGTGTGTGTTCACTACTCACTGCTGTGTGTGTGCACTTGAATGGGTGAAATTCAGAGCACAAATTCCGAGTATGGGTCACCATACTTGGCCACACATCACGTCCTTTCCTTTCCTTTAATTGTTGTAAGAACATGTTGTTTCAATGTATTGAATTTGTCAATACAAATTCAAGAATTGGTGCAGGGAAAAAAGCTTTACAGTGTTTTAATCAAAATTTTTTTAATGTAAACGTATATTGTTTTGTGGATTTATTTTTACAAATAATACTTCTAAAAGTAACTGTTCTGTTACACCTTAAATCCTTTTACCTGCTCAGTTAAGAGATATATTAATGTTTTTAGAAGTTATCAAATGAAGATTGTGAGTTATTTAAATCTAAGGTAGTGTTCTTTTACTCTGAAGAGTTAGATTAACACTGATAAGAGATGTTGGATTAGCTCCATGAGGGTTAAATGTTGAACTCTGAGGCAGTGTTAATTTGTTAACACTTTTAAAAATGTTAATTTAACACTGGGCAATGAGAATTATATAAACACCAGGATAGTGTTGAAATTAACTCTCACAAAGTTAAATTAGGCCTAACGCTGGGGGTTTTGCTGAGTGGGATTCAAAAATTAATTAAAATTAGGAAAGAAACATCTTCAGGATTTTGAAAAATGTTACACAAAACAAACATTTTGCTGCAAAATAAATTAAAAAATAGGATTCTGCACCATTTCTAATCTACTTAGGAAATTTATGATTTGTGAATGATACAAAGCAGCCTAGCAAAAGTGCAGCAACACACACAAAAACATAAACATCTTACCAAATGCATCAACCCTAACCCTAACACCTTAACAAAACCATAGCAACATGCTAAAAGTAAAAAACACACAGAATACCTTAGCAACTACATAGCAACACCAGGGCTCTCAAGTTATAGCAAAAGTTTGGAGTGAGATTACATCTGTTAGGGGAGGGCCCACACAAAGGAGAAGGGGCACACAAATGGGAGGAGCCAGCAAAAGGGGAGGAGCCACTCAAATATTTGCAGCACCCAATTATCTCAAGTTTTTGCTAGCGGTTCAATGTTACTTATTGCTCATAATTGACCAGCTCAAATAGAAATTATAACAACTGGTAAATCTGATAAAATACTGAATAGATTTATGCATGTCAAAAAAACAAATGTATCAAAAATAAAAAATAAATTTAGCCACAAACGAGTCAACTGAACAGCAGTATGCATCAACTACAGATTTCAATAATCATGCATCAATCTGGATATTCCAAAAATGCATCAATGCATGTTTGAGAGGGGAGATTTGACAGTTGGTTAGAGTAATATTTTATGTTTTTGTTTAATTAATCCAACAATAAAATTGCAATACATACATTACGGAATTTAATATTCATATATTATAATCATTTTTAATAATTATATATATATATATATATATATAGAGAGAGAGAGAGAGAGAGAGAGAGTACACATTTCAGCTTGTTTTTTTTTTCTGTTGTAAGTGTTTGTTGCATATTTTGATGCCTGGTGACAGGGGTAGAGGGCTCCCACATAAAACAAGCCAGAGTCAAACTGATCCTAGTTTTGGTTTTGTTCAAACCCATCATGGAGAAAACTCTCTCTGCATCTGCATTTGAGTGGGGAAGCCACAGTGCTTTATATGAGAGCCCTCTAGCTGTCATCAGGACATCAAAATGTGCAACAAATACAACAGAAAAAACATAAGCTGAAATTTTTTATACTTTTTTTTTTTTTAAATATAAAACAATTTATTTTATTTGGATGAATATGTCTGTCTTTTATCAGACTTACCTAGTTGTAAAGCAGTTGGAGTTTTTGACTGCATCAATAATAATTTAGCACGAATTTGGCTTGCCAACATCAGCTCTCACTATCTTTGATCACAGGTAAGTAAGTGATTTCGTCCAGGAATCGTAAAATTAAAATGCTAAAAGAAATGAAGGGGTTACCTACAGCATTCATCGGATCTTGCTCTTTGAACTTACGTTCCGTGTGCGAGCGCATCCATGTTGCTTAGTAACGAACATGCTTGCTTGCAGCGGGATCACCTTATTTATGCGGAAACAACAACATTCTAATTTCTGATTGGCTGGTAGGTGGCATTTAACTTCCCTCCTATGCCTGCGCCTCGTCTATTAATTGTATATATAGAGGGACAAGTTATCCCTTACTTCTCAGCGTGAGAAATACAAGGTGTGGCGTGAGAGCGTGTGAACTGGTTGAAATGCGTGTGTCTCACGGTGAATGCGTGAGACTTGAGAGCCCTGCAACACCCTACCACCTAAACACCCTAAAAAAAAACATAGCAACATGCTAAAAGTAAAAACACACAGAATACCTTAGCAACTACATAGCAACGCCCTAGCAACCACCTAAACACCCTAACAAAACCATAGCAACATGCTAAAAGTAAAAACCACACAGAATACTTAGCAACTACATAGCAACACCCTACCAACCACATAAAACACCCTAAAAAAACATTAGCAACATGCTAAAAGTAAAAACACAGAATACCTTAGCAACTACATAGCAACACCCTAACAACCACCTAAAACACCTTAACAAAACCATAGCAACATGCTGAAAGTAAAAAACATAGCGAATACATAGCAACACCCTACCAAACACCTAAAACAGTAAAAAAAAAAAAACACTTTAGCAACTGCATAGACAACTAGCATTAAAAGCATTAGGCTAAAATTAAGCTCTCAAATTTCTTCTAAGCTAAATATCTGTAATGTTTCTTTATACGGTGCTGACAGACGCCCATCATGACGCCTGACATGAAATCCAGCATTAGAGATGAAGATATGTAAACACATGAGCCGCTTCACTCCTCTGTGAGTGTCAGCTTTCTCTCATGTCCCATCATGCTCTATGTATAGATCAGCTCCAGTAACCAGACACTGGCTGGGATCAAGCGCGGGACGAAACACCACACATGACACCAGCACCCTCCACTCTAACACCTCATCAACACACCACTAATGCAGCAAACTTCATTTCTTCACGATCTATTACGATCAGCCGCATAAGTTGCACATAAACGGAGTAAAAAATATTGATGACTCATTGTGCACTGCACAGATTTCTGTCCAATCAGATGCTCTCTAGAATAAGAAAGCCCCTCCTCCTATAACCACCTGCAGCTGAATAATAATAATAATAATTTATGCATTTAGCAGACGCTTTTATCCAAAGCGACTTACAGTGCATTCAGGCTATGCATTTTCTATCGGTATGTGTGTTCCCTGGGAATCGAACCCACAACCTTTTGCGCTGCTAATGCAATGCTCTACCACTGAGCCACATGAGTGGGGGGGGGGTCCCCTTTTAGGTGGCTCTTTTGGGTGGGGGGGTATTTTTTTAGACATTTTTAAACTACAGTCATCCAACCTAAATGTTTCATCACCCAGTGTATGTGTGTTTTACAATTAATAATGTTGTTGATTCATATTTATATTGTGAGGAAGACTCGTAAAAAGAACTTTGATTTCAAACTCTGAAGTGAATTTATTTTAACTAAAATAAGAATAGGTAAATGAAAAGCAATGGCACAAATAAATACAATAACAAGATACAACTAAAATTAACTGTGCTTTGTAAACACATGAGCCGCTTCACTCCTCTGTGAGTTTCAGCTTTCTCTCATGTCCCATCATGCTCTATGTATAGATCAGCTCCAGTAACCAGACACTGGCTGGGATCAAGCGCGGGACGAAACACCACACATGACACCAGCACCCTCCACTCTAACACCTCATCAACACACCACTAATGCAGCAAACTTCATTTCTTCACGATCTATTACGATCAGCCGCATAAGTTGCACATAAACGGAGTAAAAAATATTGATGACTCATTGTGCACTGCACAGATTTCTGTCCAATCAGATGCTCTCTAGAATAAGAAAGCCCCTCCTCCTATAACCACCTGCAGCTGACTAACATGAAGCAAATCATGCTTCAAAAACATTAAGATAAGAAAATAATCCACAATACAAAACTAAATATGAACATTTTGGAAAATGGGGGGGGCGGAATTCCCCCTTTAGGTGGCTCTTTTGGGGGGGAATTTTTAATTTGAGGGGGGAGTTTGGGTATTTTTTTAGACATTTTTAAACTACAGTCATCCAACCTAAATGTTTCATCACCCAGTGTATGTGTGTTTTACAATTAATAATGTTGTTGATTCATATTTATATTGTGAGGAAGACTCGTAAAAAGAACTTTGATTTCAAACTCTGAAGTGAATTTATTTTAACTAAAATAAGAATAGGTAAATGAAAAGCAATGGCACAAATAAATACAATAACAAGATACAACTAAAATTAACTGTGCTTTAAGTTAAGTAGGTATAACAGTAATATTCAGGTACAGAAATACCACAGAAACGGAATAATCTATTTAACGGTGCCATAGAATGCATTGATACAATATTTTAAATTGTTCTCTGATGTCCCCAGAGTGTGTATGTGAAGTTTTATCTCAAAATACCCCACAGATAATTTGTTATAGCTTGTTGAAATTGACATTTTTAGGTTATGAGCCAAAACGCGCCGTTTTTGTGTTTGTCCCTTTCAATGCAAATGAGTCACACAACTGTGTTCAACCACCTTATAAAAGTGATTTTTGCATTATATGGCACCTTTAACTTTAATGTTTATTTATACATTGAACACTAACCAGTGTTATTTTAATGACAGACAGCAGCAGGTTTATTTAGGTTGCTGTCGCTTTAAGACCTCATGTACGGATCTAACTGTTACATACTACGTTTTGTTTCTCAACTGTTTACATTCACTTAATAGCCTATATATACAATGTTTAGTATAAATCGACTGTTTATGTGAATACTCATCAAGACGGGCATTTTGACATGATTTTATATGTATTTGGCCGTACGCACAATAAAGACTTCATTCTGTAGTCGCGCGCTCTCAGATGTGGCTCTGTGTGCGCGCGCTTTGGGTGTGAGCTCACAGAAAGGTGTCTCACAAAGAGCGCGCAAGTACTGAATTGAGCACCAGAATGTTTCAAATTGTAAGACTCAAAAGCACGTGCAAATGATACATTCCGTAATCTGTCCCAAGCATCTTTCACGCTGAAATATTTGCAGGAATTTCCCGCGTTACAATATATATATATATATATATATATATATACACACGGTATATCAATTACTGTTTGTAATGTGTGCAATCTGCCTGAATGAGTCAAAATGGTGGAAATATATATGGACGGAAAACAGTAATCAACTCATGCACTCACACACACACATCATTTACGGTCACTTAAAATGACTTGAAATGTGAGAGAGCTGGATTTTAACAAATAAATTAAATTTCAACCAATATTTGCCAAGGATTTGATGGCTAATGATTATTATATTAAATAAATAAAACAGGTAACAAAACAAAACATACAAAATATTCCTGTTACTTTATGATGTTACTTCATTACATAAATATAAATAAACAAACACACACATACACATATATATGCTAAAAGTAAAAATATTTTACAAATACACACACACACACACACACACACACACACACACACACACACACACACTTATTGCATTTGAAATGTGAATATATTGTAACTGTAAAATAATTTATTTCTGTGACCAAAGCTGAATTTTCAGCATCATTACTCCAGTCTTCAGTG